TATTTATTTATTTATTTTATGTGGACTGTGGCCCTTTTGGGTCTCCATACTAACAGGGCATGTGTTCAGGCAAATCCAGCCACCTCTTTAAACTGGGTTGGGTTTCTAAAATCGAGCACAACGATGTTTATAAACACTTTTTTTTAAAGGTCAGAGAGGGTGGGAACCCACGCCACGCCACGCAGACTAACTCGTCTAGTTAAGCTGTAATGGTTTTCAAATAATCCCTTCTCGTTACCCCAAAACACCAATGAAACATGTCCCCGCAGAGCGCCTCTGCAGCCACTGCCACGTTTCTCCTCATCCACCATCCCAGTGCATGAGACGCGGGGTCTCGGTGAGCGTGTGTGCGGCTTACTTTTGCACTGCAGCTCCACCATGGCCTGGAACCACTCGTCCTGGTCCTCCTCGTTCTCCGCGGCCACGGCGAAGCTCTCCGCCCGGGTGTACAGCACGATCATGTGCTTGTTCTTGGAGTCGGCCCGCTTGTTGATGTTGAAGCACGTCTCCAGCGCCACCGCCTTCTTCGGGACGGGGGCCTTGCCGCGGAACTTCTTCTCGCTCTCGTAGTACTCCAGGCGGGCCGGACCGCGCTCCGAGGCGGCGCGCAGCACGAAGTAGCGCCGGTGCATGGACTTCTGCTTGCGGAGGTAGCCGCTCTTGCGCACGTCCTCGTTGCCGTGCAGCTCGCCCGCTTGGCCCTCCATTGAGTTTGGTTTCCACCGAGCAAAACAACAACAACAACAAAAAGAGGAAGAAAAAAAACCCTAAACAAACAAACAAACAAACAAAAAAGAAAAGAAGCAAGCGAGATGGTCAGCTGGAATTGGTTTTCCCCTGCAACTTTCACCGAGATGATTCAAACATGCTCCCCGGTCCGCTGACCCCGCTCCTCCACATCAACACAGCAGGCATGTGCGCGAGGAGAGCTGGAGGTCGGTCCGGACGGCTGCTGCGAGTCTGGACCCGGGTCTGTTTGTTGGCGTCTGTTGTTTTGGAAGGGGGAGCTTGTTTTCTCTCCAAGGGACGGAGCAGCGCAAGTTTTCCACGTGCGGCGCAGCTTTTACGCGGGGCTCCCCCCCTCCTCCTCCGCCTCCCTTCTCTCCTCCACTACTACCGCTACTACTATTAGCGTTTCCCAGAGCTGTCTGTGCGGGTTAATCCCATTTTCTGCACATCACAGCGTACCGAGCCCAGGCGTCTATCCCCCCACCCCCGGCCCTGCTCAGCTCGGCTCTCTGGCGGCTGGAAGTGCGAAGCGGAGCTGCTACCGTGGAGCGGCACAGTCGCTCACTTTGAGAGGAGTCCGTGACCGAGCCGATTCGACGTGCCGGCTCATCTCCGCGAACGTTCTACTTCGTTCCTAATGTCACGAAACGGAAAAATACCCCATCACAACCTTATCTCGGGGATATACAGTTCGAATATCATTTTTTTTAAAATCGTTTAATTTCAGTAATTTGACTCAAAAGTCGAAATTCATATCAAGTAATTACACAATATTTCAAGCATTTTCTAGAATGTAGTTCAGCTCATAGAGGAGCGTTTTGGACTTATGTGGGTAACTGTTTTTGTTGAGGCGCTGCATGTTTGCACTATTATTCCCTCTGGTTTTAATGCTATGCAGCTAGAAGATTTTTTGGTCTTACTTTTTTTTTGTTTTCAAACAATTGTTAGGATGTGTAACCGTAGTGTGTTGTTTTTACAAATGGGAGCGGCTGATTGGCATCAGCATCACCTGAAATCCCAGAGAAGTTGGAAGGAGGCTTCAATGGTGCAGAGAGAGAGAAGGAGGAAGTTCAAACCATCTATTTTGTTGATCATAATGGGTAACAATCATCCCCTACTCCAACGTCTCTCTGATCTTTTTTCTGACCATACAGCCAGACAGAGATTTAAAGAGACTTAGATTTATTGTCATTGCACAAAGAAACTTGAGTAAAACTGGCAATGAAATGTCATCGCTTGGCCACCGGGGCACACACAAAAACACGAGTGTGCCTATAACTAAATAATATAAAAGTAATAATTACCATTTCCAAACAGTAATGTAATGTGAACCCCCAGGAACTTAGTGCTGCTGACGATCTCCACTGCTCTGTCGTTGATGAGGAGAGGTGTGTGGTTGGGTCGAGACTTCCTGAAGACGACAATGATCTCTTTTGTCTTGTTGACGTTCAGGAGCAGGCCGTTTATTCTGCACCAGTCCACAAGATGTTGTACCTCTTTTCTGTAGTTCACTCCATTGTCGTCCTGAATGAGTCCCACAATTGTTGTGTCGTCTGCATATTTCATGATGCGGTTGGTGTTAAACCTGGGACGACAGTCGTGGGTCATCAGGGTGAACAGCAGAGGGCTCAGGACACGGCCCTATGGGGAGCCAGTGTGTAAAGAAATGACATTCGAGGTGTTGTTACCCACACGGTCCATGTGGAAGTCCAGCAGCCAGTTGCACAGTGGAGTATTGAAGCCCATGTGGGAATGACAAAAGCAAATTAGTGGATTAGCACTGTTTTCCAATGACATGTTACTGCGAAATATCGTCTTCAAGGCCTGGTTGTTGAGTTGTTAGCAAATCATAACTCTTCATTAGATTGTCACACAACAGTCCTCAGTCAGAGGCCTCATCAGATACTTTGCAAGACTGACTGCTACGTGAGATCCTTCTTGCCCACAACATCACCAACCATCACAACTCTTTGAAGATACTTGGATGAAATGAGTTATGGTAACTTTTAATTTCACTTTACATTTTCTTATTCCGGATTGTGAGGGTCCAGCAGACAATCATTGGTACCCTCCACAGAGAGAGCAAACCTCAAAAGGCCATTGCCAAAACTTGCATAAAACAAACTACTGACAGTAGGTCATGTACTTTCCTTTTTAATGGGTTCATATGGATATTTGATCCACACTACCTATTTCACGCTTAGATGTGTTAAACTGAACGGCCAAGGAGTAACTATGAAGGTAACTCTAGGAAGTTAGATTTGACCTTATTTTGTATCATTAGCTAAAAATGATAGCTATTTAAGAATTTATACCATTATTTATGCTTAGTGTTTTACATTTGCAGCAGGTATGGACATACTACTAAATAACTATAAGAAGTTGAGATATGTGAAAGTTAGAAGAGATGCGAAGCAAAGAGCAGTTCGGGAGCACAAGATCCGAGTTTGAGCCAAATCATCTGGATCTCAAAAAAGAACCGGAATTCCCTTCACTAAACTCTCCTCCGTAGTACTCTAGAGCACGGTGCGTTCAGGAGCTTCACCGCAGTTCTGACAACTAAACTTCCGATTAATACATGCTAATCCGTCTCACCTGGGAAGAGAGAACTTAAAAAACTAAAGAGGAAGAATGCAGAGATATAAAACGATAAAAACAGTTATTAAAGAAACGGACTAAAGACAAAAACAAACAGAAAAATAAATAAATTTTTACTCCATACACTGGTCATGGACTAATGATGCAAACATAAGCGGGTATGGATGGATGGCTGATTTATAACTAGTCTTATATTTAATTTATTGCAATTCTATTTGCACATATAATCAAAAAGTAAATGCAAATATTAGTATGTGTTCCATTACATTAATTGTGTTGCAAAAGTGTGCATAATAGGTTTTATACCTATGTGAAAATAGACAACAGGTTATTCAAACTAAAAATAAAAATAAAAAACTAAAAAAAATCTGGTGCTGATAAAACGTTTCTGCTTTGTTTTTCTCATTACGTAAATCAGATCAAAGCAAACCACCTAATATTATGTGTTTTTAACTTACATTTATATAATGCTGCCACAATACAACAGTTTGAAAGTTATTTCTAAATGGATTTTGCCAAAAATCATTGTAGTGTGTAGACTGTAATGTTGTAACAACATGACAGGGACATTCAACATTATAGAGTGAATGTCCCTGTAGTGTTTTTTTGCATCAATTTGACCTAGCACCGTACAATAAACTGAAAAAAGTAACACCAGACTCTAAATTAGTGCTGATAATATAAAACTCTCATTATACATTTATAAATAAGCTCATATGTAATTATTTACAGCAGTATTCTAACCAACATCTTCCAATTTTCTTTGCGTTTTCGCACGTTATCTTCCATCTCTATTCTTTTTATGCGAACTCCTAAAGATTCCCACAGCACGTGAAGGCAGCATCCCTTCTCCTCTCCATTGTGGCGTAAGATTTCAGCCTTGGCGCTTCCAGGAGGTCCATCCTGGTCTATTTATTGTTAAAAAAAAAAAAAAACAGTCCCTATCTGTCTTCTGTTGAAATGTGGATATATTGACGCATGAACTCTGCAGATTCAGCAACTGTGTCCAAAGAACAGTGATTAAATCAGCAGAAATTCTCCAGACAGTAGCGAAATCAAGGGTCAACTTTAGAAATCTTTTGGAGCTGTGTTATTTCTATTCTTCATTTGGACGACGTTGCTGTATTAAATTGAAAAATCAGACATTTGACTGTTTTCTCTATTTAAAATCGTGTCTACGCTCAGTGGAATCTCCAGTCCTTTGTTTTTATTAAATATAAAAAGAATAAAGGAAAAGCGCATTAAAATCTTTTAGATTTAAATGAATATTTTAAAACAACCAAAACGGAACCATCTTCGTGCTGCAGTATGCATGCTGTTATGCAATATGCATCCCAAAGTAACCTTGTGCAGGAGGGCAAACATAAAATAACAGTCTACCGCCCCCTGCTGTTTAGCAAAGTTACTGCCATGGGGGGCGACTACTTTTTAATTTCACAATGATTGTTGTGGACTTTCTTAGCTCAATGTTTCAGTTCCCAGTCGTGTTTCACTGTAATGTCAGCTGCGTGAACGTAAAAACAAAACTTTATTATAATAACCCTAAAACGGTCGTTTCTGCCACCAGAAATGAACGGACGGATTTTCAGACTTCGAGTCATTCTGAAGTGGTGAAGGTGTTTCCATCATGTGTGAATAAAAACAGTCAAAGACACACAGAAAAAGCCTCACTATATTAAGAAGTTGATTTTATGAACATGAATACGTGTCGTTACAAAGAGGTTAATACATGAAACTCTTACTTTTTTGTTCTTTTTGGCAAAATAAAAGAAATAACCTTTACCTCAATTAAAAGAAACAAGAAAGCATTTTGGTCCAGTAAAATGAAGCTGTGAACTTTTTATACATATTTTATGTCTCTTATCGTTTTGGGATTTTTTTTGTTTGTTTTCTGAAATTTGCTTTTACATTCAGTAGCATCTCCTTTTAGCCCTATAAGCGCATGCAGCCTGAGAGTGAAAAACACTGATAATCACTGATCGATAATTTGACCAGGAATTAAAAAAAAAAAAGTGAGAAATGCAAACATGTTCCATACACACACACGCACACACATACGTTCGTCTTTCTTGAGACGCTAATTCACGTGCATCACGAGGTTGTTAAGGCTGTTCAAAATTATTTGCAGGGCATGTGTGATGACAAGTCAAAGTCTCTGTCCCACCAGCTAAGATTCAAAGATTTTAAAGCAGAGGACGTTCTTACCGGTGGGCTGTTTTTGCAGGGGTGTGTTTCTTTTATATATATATATATATATATATATTTTTGCACTTATAAGCAGGAGATGAAAGCATGATAGCAGCAGCAGCAACATGTGTGTGTGTGTGGTATAATTTGTGGGTAAAATTAAAGAGGCATTGTTCACTCGTGACTCCCACAGAGCCCTGAGGTGGCATCTACTGTCACAGAAAAACACCCTGACACACACACACACACACACACACACACACACACACACACACACACACACACACACATACAGTTTCATTGTTACATTCACACCCTCTTCTGTTATTTTTCTTTCCTCCACAAACACGTAAACACAGACACAGAGGAGAGAAGGAGGCAGGGAGGGCGGGATGGAGGAGGGTCCGACCCTCCCCGACCGGGTGGAAATACTCCAGAGGCTTTGAAATGGCAGCAGCTCCTCAAGTTCACTCCTCCCTCGGTTCCCAGCGAAGTGAGGAGAGGCGTGGGATGAGGAGATGGAGGGGAGGCGGGGGGAGGGGTCAGATGAAGGGATTTTTCGATGTCCCCCGACTGGGGTAGACATTCCCCTGCAGAACGAGAGAGAGAGAGGCTGGAGTGAGAAACAGCAGCAAGAACGCCGCCTAGATGGAGCAAGCCGGATTCCCCACCGGCTCTCCGGGCAGCGAACTCACCGTGAACGGGTTCACAGACATGGGCCGAGGGACTTTGGGCTGAGAGTCAGGCTCGGGGAACGAGGCGAAACCTGCAGCAGGAGACAGAAACATGACGGGTGAAACGGGACCCAAACAGGAGCTGCAACCAGACACTGGAAAAACGCAAAACAATGCAGCTCCAACTTAAAAAAAAAAAAATCTGTTAGTCACAAGAAATTAAATGAAGTGGATCGAACTCACTTGATTTATGTTTGTTTACCTTTACAACTTAATAAACTTAATAAATTAAACTCAATTTGACCAATTAACATATCTTTCTTTTTTTTTTTAAAGGTTTGAGCTGATTTTTTTTTCCAGTGCACTGGCTGCGTCTGTGGGTGTTCCTGACCTGCTGACCTCTGGGGACCGGTCGGTGAATGACGGAATACTGAGTGGACTGTATTCTGGTCTGGTCTGCAGTAGAAACCACAGACTCATGTTTTTATTGTGGTTTTATGAGACAAACAAGTCCATTTTTATTTTTTCTTATTGTTTTTTACTTATGTTTTAGGCAATGCCTCTCATTCCCCTAATGGAAAAAACTTGAATGAAAACAACTTTAAATCCGTCAAGAGTATGAATAATTTTGAGCTGGATAAAAATACAATATTATTGTATAACTAATGAGCTCACTGTGTTTTTCTTCTCTTCATTATTCACTATATTGAGGAAATACATTGTTTCCTCCTCAGCTTTGAGCCATTCAAGTTAACAAAAACATATTTTAAGACCTTTTCTCTGCAAAGTTTGTGTTTTTATAACAAAACAACACTACTTCCCTGATTAAAAGTTCTACTTCATGGTCCTCTCGGCACATTAAGACGCGATGCTACAGCAAATAAAGCAAATCTCACCGTTGGTTTCTTGATTGGCGACTGACTCGTGGTGAAATGCATTCTGGGTGGCAGGAGCCGGGAAGGAAGCAGACGGAGGGAAAACGGAGGTGGGCGAAGTGACAAACGCCCCGGAGTCGCCTGGTGGGAAGAAATCAGAGGGAGAAGACGTCGTTGCTCAGGTGAAGAGGAGACGGCACAGAGCTGCTTTCACTTTTCATTTCTACGTCGAACAAAGAAGCAGGAGAAGCGTCGAGACGCCAAAGCGACGCCTTACTGGGTTACTGGTGCTGACAACGTAGACGTGTGTCGCTATTCTGTCTTGTTTTATTACAACATTTTAATAAAAACTTAAAAATCTGATTATGGGTGGATGACAAAGAAGAAAAATGTGGATCTTAATTGCTTCACAGTCAGAGCAGCACTACTTCAACATATTTTCACGTATACTTCATAATAAAGACTAAGTACAGCGTAGAAAAAAATTCCTAAAAGTAAATTTTTTCCAAAAAGTTCATGTGAGTAAATGTGACTAGTTGCAGCCCAACTCTGCCTGCAGTAGAGTGACGTTTTAAAGCAGCACTCGTTTGCCTCCAGGCAGCCAGACTCTGAACTCTGAATGCTTTCTTGCTGACAAAACGTGAAGAGAAAAAAAAAAAAAAGTCTTAAAGCTCCTGCAGAGCATGAGGCTTACCTCCTGAGGCGCTGCTGAAGGGGTTACTGGGGGAGAGGGCAACAGGCTGCTGGGAAGCCGACCCGGCGCTGGAGCTGAATGGGTTTGGGAAATCTGAGACACACAAGGCGCAACGGGGAGAGGGGGGGGGAGATAATTCACCATGCGTCGGGTTAACAGGGCAAATTCCTGCCTATTCAGATTGACTCTAAGTCTGAGCGTGATGAGTGGTGGTGTTGGACGGCTCCTTTAGGATGAAAGGGGCTGAATGTAAAATGCAGCGCGGGGCTGGATCGATGTGGCCTGTGCTCTGTACTCACTTCCAAAACTTTGGGAGCTGGATACAGCATCGACTCCGGGGGAGCTGGGGCGCGGAAGAGCAAAAGAAGATAATTTTTTTTTTAAAAAAAAACCTCGTGAATCGATCCAAGCCCGACCGCGTTGAAATAAAAGCTGCTTTTCTCTTCATACCTGGCAGGAGTGGAGCTGGACGAGAGCCTGCTGCCAAAGATAGCGCTGTACTGCGGAGGGCCACTAGGTGGAGCTGCAAGCAAGCATTTCACAGGGACAAAAAAAAAAAAAAAACCATCAGGATATGACCTCAGGCCTGTTATTAACCCTGTTTTAAAAGATCAAGTACTACCATTACCTTAAAACGTGAGTAAAAGTCTGATAAAGGGCTCAAACTGTTGTGCTGCAGTGTGTAAGTCAATGGGAGGAAAACAAGAATTAATCAAATAAAATAAAAAATAAAAACATTTCCGAGTTTGGCTTGATATGGATCAAAGAGCGCTGAAGCAGAAAATCAATAAAGAGCTCTTCCTGCCAGACAGAGAAGACTGAGATGAAGCTGGAAAACAACAACAACAGCAGCAGCAGCAGCAGCAGCAGCAAGGCTTCTTGCGGAAAGCCCCAGGGCTCCACACACGCGTTACGTCCATTAAAGCAGCCAGCTTGGTATTTAGACAAACACGGCCGGTCGCTTTAAAACCAGTCAACGGGGTCCTTTGAACCCGACTGTGCAGAATCTGGAGTAAATACAATGAGCATAATTCAGCTGCTACGAGTCTTGGCATTTGGAGAGTAACGGTGTTACGCAACTAAGCTGAGCTGGCCATCAAAATCTGGATCACACGCACTCCTTACACAGCCTCTGTGCAAGAGTCGGAGTCAAAACCCAGAATATTACTACAGCCATAGTACCGGGGGGAAGAAGTGCTTTCCCATTTTTTTTTTTTTTTTACTTCTTTTATTTTTAAATTCTTCTCCCCATTCGTAGATATTCCTGTCACAACAAACACTAAATAAATTAAATCGCATAATCAAGTAAAAGAAACTGTAATTTTCATTTGCTTGATTTATTGTTTTTCTTTTTTCACCAAAAACTGGGTGCTTTGGTCTCAACTATCCCTTTCTTTTTCTTTTTCTTTTTTTAAGATAATCTTAATAATTTCTTCATAATTAATTTTTTATTGTTTCTGTTCTTTGAGAATGTGTTCTTGCATTTTTTTTTTTTTTGCCATTATTCCTATTATATTACTTGAAAATATTCTCGAAACAACAATCACAGTAAGTTCTGGGACAATTTATCATCCAGCAAAATTTCTGACAGGCCTATTGGTAGAAACACAAAGACACAAATCAATTCAGAAAGGAAAATAGGCAGAGCAAAAGATAAACGTTACATGTTGTCTCCATCTCACGTTTTTCTCCTTTTAAAAAAGTAGATAATTTGCAGTCGATTTAGCAGCATTTTCATACTTTAGGTAGCTCTTCATTGACTTCAAATAAAATTGGATGTAGATTAACAGCAAATGTTTTTTTTTTCTTACTCATTCTGATTCAGAAAACTTTATTGATCCCAAAGGGCAGTTAAATTAAACAACCATGGCCGCCTCATTCCATTCCTACCAGTCAGTTCACACTGTACCGTCCATCTTTCTTTTCTTCCCTGATGCCAGAAGAACATTCCACAGATTTCCATCTGTTCCTTTAAGTCGTGGAGGTTTGTATCCTAGATACATTATCTTAAAATCGTCAGGAAGGGAGTTTTGAAAGTGAGTTGATTTACTTTATTAACATCTTTCCAGTCATCCAGAACCTTCAGCCAACCCCCGAAAAATGTTTTGATTTCCCACACAGACTTGAATGTTGGACTTTTACTAAAAATTCAAGAGTGTACAAGAAATCCTGCCAAGATAAAAGATTTATATTTGTCCTCAAATGAGCCAGAATCCTTAGCATTCCTTTAATGAAGTGGCTCCCCAGGCTGTTCGAGGGTCACGCAAAATGCTTCTTCGGACTTTGACCTCTTCATCAAAGTTTAACTACGGTCTGTTTCTGTTTGTTTGGGCTTTCGAAACATTGCAAAGCAGCGAGTGACAAACATTAGATACCTGCAGCTGAAGATGTTTCAGAAAAGACACTGTCCAGCTGCGACACGGCAGCGTACTTGTCCCGGTTGCTGGACGCGCTGACCGGCGGTGTCGTCTGGCTGACGCCGACCGGCTGCTGCTGCTGCTGCTGCGGCTGGGACAGAGACTGTGGGATGGACTGCTGCTGAGGATGGTTCAGACCTCCGAAATCCACACTCAGAGATTTTGGGAAGGCCCTGAAGGGCCCTGTGACTCCTGAGACTGACACTGTACGACCTGAGGGAGAGAAAACAACAGCTAATGACGATGAACTACGACCTTTGGAGCTCTAAAAACCTCCTGTGTGGACTGTGGTAATATTTCAAAACTAGACACCAAACATGACGTCTACGTGTTACATTAGCAACACGTACACAGTCAAACACGTACACAGTCTATAAAAATATAGATTTCATGAATTTCATGAATTGTCAGAAAATATAAGTACACCCCTGCAGCTTTAATTGGACTTAAGAACTAAATTAATTGATGATCAAACAAGTATGACCCGCAGGAGTTGGACACGCTTCCTGATCTGTTGTGAACAGGTGTGGTTCAACACAATGCCAGAATGGAAAAAGAAAACAGCATCGTGACCTCGGTTTGCAAAGTTTTGTCTCAATTAGCCACAAGATTTCTGATGATTGTGCTTTGAGCAGGTCGGAACAAAGTTCAATTGAGATGTAGAGAAATTAATATCTGCAAAAGCTAAGGAAGCATGGGGTGTACTTAGTTTTTCCACACCTTTTTTTTTTTTTTCATTTTTGTCTGTATTTGGAAGTTGGGTTTTAAAAACTGCTTAGGAACTGTGCTATTTTCATACAGTAGGACTAAATTGCAATGCGTTGTTTTGACTCTTTCCGCTGCAGTTTTTTTTTCTGAATTAATTTATCTTTTTAAACCCTGCGGCTTTCTTTATGATATCTTTCTTTTAACTCATGCGCTCTCGGCTCGCTAAACGTCAAGCAGAGAAAAACAATCTCACGCCAAGCTGACATTTTCATGTTGTGAAGATAATCGGTGACAGCGTTAGCTTTGTGCACGAGGAATGCGAAATAAAACAGATATCAGTTTTAAGCTTTAAACTTTAAAAAAGAAAAAAAAGCACAGCAGAAAGGGCGACAAGATCTTTAAAAGCAACAGTTAGATCCTAAGAATAGCCTCCATGTAGTTAGCAACAGCTAGCCGCTAAGCATGCTGGGTATCAGCTTCTGCTAGCATGGAGACGAAAAGGTGAATCCATCTTCCTCCCCCTGTCAGCTGACGAGCCGGAGACAGAGTCCAGACTTGACCCGATTCAGATAATCCACTGATTCCAGACACGCATCACCCGTGCCCCGTGTTTCTGGGCTCCGATGTCATCTGCGAAGCGTGTTTGTGAGGCGTCGGCTAGGCCCTATCTCTGCAGGCATACTCTGGGACTTCTAAGAATACTTGTTTGGAATGGGATTACTGCTGCCTGCGCCCCACATAGTTTTCGAGAGCTTCAGCGGCAGCGTGGTGCGAAATATCAGCGGCCTTGTGCTGACGAAGGCCGCAGCAGCGGGAGGCGCGGCCCAAAAATAGCCCTGCTTTAAGCTCACTCTGTTCCCTCTGAGTAAATGTGTCTCCTTGACCCTCCCAGACCTGAGCTTTGAAGTGGCAAACCTGACTGATGAAGAAAATGACTGACCCCAATTTCAGTAGGTGATGCCTGACTGCAGTGATTTAGATGGTGAAAGTAGTGAGGAGATTTTGCTCGTCTGCTGTGACATACAGCGCCTTTTTAAGCGCATTTATAGCACTGGAGCCTTTTTGAAATTTGTTAATACAACAAACTGCAACACAAAATTTAATGGGGAAAAAAAATCAACACAAGGTGAATAATTATGAAGTAAAATAGTACACAGTTTTCAAATGTATCTCACAAAACAACCTGAAAAGTGTGGCATGCGTTTGTATTCTACGACGGCGTATTAGTGCCATTGTAGATAAAAGGAAAAGGAGGAAAATTTCACCCAAAAACAAGTACATTTCTTTGCTCCAAAAGTTTAAAAATTGCAAGATAAAACTCAGTAATTTTTAGATGAATCTTTGAAATTACCTGGAAAAAAAATTTAAATTTTTGAGCTCCAAAAGTGAAATACTTATGAGAACAAAATACTAAAATGATAGAAATTTGGATTTTTTTCCCTAGAAAATATTCAACATTTAAAGCTCAGAAATTTCCACATTTTTTTTCTAGAAAATTTTGTAAGATTAGTGTTTTGTAGTGGAAAGTTACTCCTCTTTTGATCTGTCTACAGTGACCCTGGTATGCAGCTGTAGTATTTCGCCCCCGTTACACTGATGTGCCAAAATAAAATCACTTGGATCCAATTTGCAGCCCTAATTGCAGAAAAAGATTATTTAGTGGAGTCTTGGAGTCTGAATACAAACTCCAGTATTTTCAATCACAATAGATTTTGAAAACCATGTCATTTTCCTTCTACTTCCCAATTAACCACAACTTTGTGATGGCCAATTACAAAAAAATACATTGAAGTTTGTAATGGAAAAAAAAATTGCGGTTTGTTGTAAATTTACATGCACGTAAGGCGCGGCCAGCACTGACACATCCACAGATAAGGCATCTATTATGAATGATACACAGAGGAAGTACTTATCGATTCCAGCCACTCAGCACAAACTCGAAAAGCAATGAGTCTTACCTAAAGTGAAGTGGTTTTTGAACGAGCTACTGGCTACAAGGTTGAAGGAAAGAGCAGAGAAACATCAGATAGACACAGAGAGAGAGAGAGAGAAGAAAAAGGAAAATGTCACTCATGTCAGATCACCCCATCTTTCCTGCTGCTTCCTGTCGACAGCTGAGCAGCCTGCTTGGTTTTAAGATTCATGAAAAGCAAACCCAATGTGGCAGCACATGATGACACGACAAAAATCAGAGAGAATACACAAGGATGATCCTGAGAAACAGCGTGGCGCCGACATTATAGCTGTGTTCAAAATGTTCACTCATTTGCTATGTTACGTTAAGCAGCCGTTTTTGCATTTTTAACAATACTCCGTCCTGAAAAGCCCCCACAGCTTGAAATGTTTGACATGTTTACAGTTTAGGCTGAAGATCAGAGATCTGGTTTTGGAACGCACTTAAAAAAAATCTCAAAAATCTTCTGGCTCTGGATGAGCTGCCTAACAAGTGCCACTGCATGTAAATGTAAGGCTCATCGATGCTTGTTCCAGTTTCCAAACGCGAGCAACATTGGTGTTAACATTAGCACTAGCTAACAGGCTAATGCTGGCATAAACGTTTTGGTAATTTAAAGAGGTATAGTCTCTAGATATATTTATATTTCCAAAAGTATACTATTTAGAGATAATATACTTATTTATGTTTCAGAAACTATATTAGTTAAAGACAATGCACTTATTTTAGTATCTGAAAGGAGGCAACACTTAATATTAGCATACGATTACAGGGATAACAGTAGAGTTGGCAGTTTTATACGAATGGCCCTGCTGAAGTACAGCTCTAAATTGCATAAAAACCTATTGTTAAAACGCACAGGAGTTTGTGGTTTTAATGTGACAAATTGTGAAAAAGCTGAAGATAAATTACTACTTTTATAAGGGACTGCACAATGTCTGAATGGACATTTCAAGCACTGCTTGTCTACATTTACACATTTCAATCACAAAGAAGAAAAAACCCCACTTCACAAATATTTTATATATTTAAACACCGATGTAGGGGAGACGATCTCAGTTGTGACTAAAACAATAAAGGTGAATAGTTTTTTCTAATAGCATGAGGTGTTCTTCACTTTCAAAGCCTGAACAAACTGCTTTGCATTGATCTATGTTTTTCTAAAGTAGAGGGAGTCCAAAGCCCACCTGAGGGTCTTGGGAGGGCGGGGAACGATGGGCCGTGGCTCTGACCTCCCAGTGCTGACGACAGGGATCCCGGTCGCTGTCTTTCTATGCCACACAGCGTGGAGTCTGGATCACAAGAAAAAACAAAAACACGTGATAAAGCCTAATACCACAAACAAGAAAGAAAAGAATTCCTCCCACGGAGGATCCAACCTCTGACCTTTCAGAGGGGGATCTCGAAAGCTCTGCGAGCGCGAAGGCCTGGCCGTGAACGCGTCGGTCCGCATGTCAGCGGGCGAGATGGTGGGAGCGCGATCCCATGATGGCAGCTGCGACTGAGACTGGTGGAAAAGAGATAAATAGAAAGGGGAGTTAAAAATGGAAAAGGCAGACGGGGTGAGTCTGTTTCATCGTTTCTCAATAATTCATAAGTGGAGCCTTTGATGTGGAGGCTACCTGGCCCTCCGACTGCCCAACCTATCAGCCTCTCTGCTGCAGCACTGAAGTGAATTCAGGTCATCTCTTCACCTGCTGTTCCCTTTTTCTTTCCGGCTCTCTCTCTGAATATCCTGCCTCCTTTCATTTCCTCTTTTTCATGCAGTTTTTACTTCTGCTCTCACTTTATTTCCCTTCTTTTATTGATTCTCCATTAGCGTCTCCATCCACTTAACGTATCTCTTGCTTCTTACCAGTGGCCTCGTAGATCTGGCATTAGGTGGCAAGTTATGGGAGGGGCCCTGGCTCGATAATGGACCATGGGAAGAGGGAACGGCTTGGACGCCGGGACTCCAGGGGCCCTCCACGTCCCTCCGGTTTTTGCTTTTGGAAAAATGCCTGTAAAAATTCAGGGAGAAACATAGTTTGTGCCATTAACCATGCTTATAGCACGCTTTGTTACAGCCTAATATTAAGGGGCTTGTTATGAAAAATTCATATTTTGCACGTTTTTTGTGCTTCCATTTCGGTCTCAACTGCTTCTAAAAACAGACCAAGCGATTAGAAATATACGTTTTTAGGTGTCTGGAAAATTAGATGTTTCAGGAACCCCGTGATTGTTACGTACGGGCACTGCGCCGTTGCCTGGCAACCCGCGCCAAGCCCAGCCTGTTAGCTAGCAACCCGGTTGGTGAGCTGTTTGCGCTGTTCAACGGCTGCTCGAAAAGAAAAAAAGTTTTGTTGTTGATTTCTTATCCAGAGACCACCTTCTGTGTTCTTGCTGGTTGTGCCGAAGACTCTTCTTCTGGTTTTCAAAGATGTAGGGTTATATAATTGCGCAACTGTTTGACGCCATTTTGTGCGAGTGTAGACTTTGAGTTGGGGGGCGTGGCCAGCAGCAGATAATTGGATTTAAAGTGACAAGACGCCCTAAAAACGTCTCATTCTGAAAGGAGCTTAAAACAGGCAGAAATAAAATCTCATTGTCTCTAAGAATTGTTTTGTGCAAAAAACGTAATCAGCATGTTTTGTATTGCTCTATCCTAATATGTTGAAAGAAACATATCAGGTCGCCTTCAAGATTTAGAAAAAAGAATTGGTAAAACAGAAAAAGGATGGAGTGTGCAGCCATGCTACATAGACCTTCTATGCAGGAAATATGGGTGAACTCTGGGGATGTAAACACAGCATGGTTGTCTCCACAGCCATCAAAGCAGTCTCTTTACAGGAAACATTTTTGTGGGAATAATAATCAACTGATATCTTGGATTTAACCAAAACAACAACACAGTGTGTGTGGACTCAACACAGTTTCTCCCATCGATAATGCAGATAGTTAACAGCCAGGCCATCAAAAAGAGCTTTAGCTTCTTGTATGTATTATAGAAGCCATGTTTATTTCCTGTGTCTGAGCCAAATAAAGAAGAGAACATTTGACAGATACTGCCATTTGATCAACAGATAAGGAATGTTTGCTGCTTTAAAAGCATTTTTATTTTATTTTTTTTAAAGAAAATGCATTAATGAAACTACCTATTTTAAGACTGAAACAAGGTATTTTAAAAGTTCTCACCATTTCTTCTTTTCATATTTATCCTGAAGAAACTCTTTGAACTTCTGAGGATCCTTTAAGTCGGGGCAGCCATCGGCCTTCGGATCAAACACGCACAGCCAGGTTCTTCGACCAACCTGAACACACACGCACACGCACAAACACACACGCACAAACACACACGCACACACACATTTTACATGTCAACAACATTAAAAAGAGGGCAGTGTTGATTTGATTTGGCTGAGGAGTAATGGTTGATTTCTAACTGCAGGAGTTTAAAATTAGACCACAATCCCTATTTGTTTCAGACATTTAATGAAAGAGATCTTTCACAAAAATAAGAAGAGATTTTTTTTTTTTTCCCTCAGTGATTCATCTGGTGCAAGAGTCAGAGTGCAGCAAATAAACACTGCCTGTGAGTCATGAGTGGTTAGATCACTGAGAGGATGATGACGGGAGCAATCTTGACCCTCCACACTTCAGCTTCGGTGCACATGAAGCTCGACTTGGAAACACATGCGGATCTGGGTTACCACCAAGCAGATCAGTGCGCAGTCATGCCTGATGTACTTCATCCATCGTCTGCGTCATGTAACCGATCCCCGAGGCTCCCACAGTCACACTGCGGCGCACTCTCCATTCGTTTTCATTACATTCCAGCTGAATGTATGTGGAAAATGATCAACGATAATTATGCAAAATGACCTATTAGAGCGATTGTTGAATAAGCAGCGGATCAGCCGAAGGGTGGTAGTTGTCATAGCGATGTAACTGCAGCTCAACAGACTGAATTTTACAGCTGATAAATATTTGACACTTTTATAATATGATAGCAACAGATCCAAAAGAAAACAGAGAATAAATAATCAGAGATGAGCTGATCAGGCTTTTCCTGGCTGATCTCTGGCCAGCTTACAGATGAATCTCTAAAAATGAAGAACTAAATGACTGAGAATTTGATTCAGTAACTGAGGTTAGCAGTAAACATTTTCCCTACATTTCAGGGCCTAATTAATTTAAAAGTATTCCGAACTTAGAGGTAGTTAAATAAATCAAAACTTTAAGAAATTAGGCAGGTTTTTGTGCCCTTCCGCCTAATCTTACTTTAATAGTGATTCATGCTGGGGAACCAGTGAGCGGCCCAGTGCTGCTGTGGGTGTTAAAAAAAGAAAAGTTGTGTAAGTGTACAGCTTCCTGTCAATCAAACAGAAACTCCCAGATCTGAACGGATGCTCTGCGGTGAACGAGCGCTCCTCTGGGGTCTCACTGCGTGTGTAATGGAGCAGGTCTGTCAACACAACACTATGAGACACCAGAAATGTCTCAGCTCACTCCACCCCGCAGATGTAGGATAACTAACTTAAAATACATTAGTCCTTATCTAACAAGGGCAAAACCACATAAATTAATCTCTCTGAAACATATAGATTACACAAAAAAATACAATAATTGCAGTTCTCAAGGAAAATTCTTATTCACATTTTTTGTTAAGTTCTCAGCTGCAGTTTCCCATTTAAGTTGGTTTTAGATTATTCCTACAATCATTCGCAATCAAAAGAACATGAGGTACTTTTTTTTCCTAGTCCTGGTTGATACGCGTCGTGTTTATAAGGACATTTTTTGTACAACTAAAAACTAAGAATGACACAAAATTATTTGTTTAGAAAACAACACAGTACCAAACTAACACCCTTTAGGCCAGTGAAAACTTTTTACCTTTCATTTGCAATTTATTCCATGCAGCGGCTCAGCGTAGAAAAAAAAAACCTTTTGGAAAAATAAAAAAATAAAATTCTTGACTTCCACAGATTTATTTTCTACAGCATCTATAGTTTTATATTAATTTCCACTATAATTGAAAATAATAATCAGAAAAAAGAGGAGTCTGATTTGCTGTTTGATCTGTAGGATTAAGCTGCTTTTTATTGGGTTTAATGTAAATGTCGACTTTGGATTTTTACAAGACTTTTATGTTTTGAAAAGTGGTAAAAATCCAGTCACCTGCTGAGCAATCAGTGCATTGCCAGTAAAAAATAACCTGTTTTTCCGTCTTAAAAAAACTGTTTGACTGGTTATTGTTTCAACAAATCCAGTAATACAACACATTGCAATTAAAACAAACAAAAAAAACAACATATTTTTAAAAGTAGGGAAAATTTCAGTGGGATAAGACAACAGTTTCTTTTGTGTTTATACAGAACTTATGAGATTAGTTCAACTGATGACCTCATGCAACATTTTATATTCTACATCAAAACTATTTAAAATATAACGTTTTTTTCCAAAACCTCTACTTACTCTCTTTCCTTAATCAAATACCTGGCAACTAAACCAACAACCTACTGGCTCCATCTGGCAACGAAGCAAGAAGCAACTTAATTAGGAGGTGAAAAGACAGAGCATCACTTACCTCATTGCCATGGTTCTGGAGGAATTCCACTTCCTGTTGGGAGAAAGTTGTCATGGAGATGGATTTGACTCTGTGGGGAGGGTTGAGGCCTCTCCTGGGATGTAGAGGAGAGATAGAAAAAGTAACAAAAATATATTCTTACATCAAAGAGACAAACAGTGAGGATTTAAAGTGAGTGTGCATGTCTGAGGCAGCTGATAGGTGCATCTCAATAAATTAGTATGTTGTGGAAAAAGTTTCTTTCTTTCAGTAATTCAATCCAAAACAGTGAAAAGTCAAACTGTTAGTTGATTATTACTCACTGGAGATGACTGCTAAAGTCAAGAAGTGAAGTCAAAAGGTAAGGAAGCTGAATGTTTAGAGAGTGCTGTAGCTGCTGATGGAAAGTTGAGTGGACGGAAAAAGTGTGTCAGAAAAAGGGATGCAAGCAACAAGGCTGACACGAGTAAGGAAAATAGAAATTTGTACCACTGAGCAACTGTGGGTTATATTTAATCTTCCTCTCAAGGCAGTGCACCTTTTTTTTAACCAGACTTTTTCCTTCCACTAAACTTTCCGTTAATATGACTGCAACTAATCGAGCCATGACTTTTCCTTGAATTCAGTAACTGAAACAAATGAACTTTTTTAAACACAATTCACTCAGATGCACCTGTGGATACATAGCAGGTGGTAGGGGACATATTTGACACGTGACTGTGGATTTTTTTGGGGGGGAGGAACAGATTTGTTAGGGGTAAAGGTGTCCGGGTGTGTATGTGTGTGTGCGCGTGAAAAAGAAAGAGACAGAGAGAGAGAAGGGGTGGGGAGCATAAGTTTTCGGTAACCAGAGCCTCCTACTTTCTCCATGCTGGGGGACACAAAGTGGGACACTGCTGTGCAAGATTGCGCAATAACTAACAACCCGCCTTCCTGTGGAGTGCTGGGACTGATCATGCAGAACAAACTCTGATACTACACACACATTCACGCCCACATTTGGAGAGGATCCTGGAAAGAGAGAGGAGTGTATCAAACCTGCGGCATGACGGTATAAAAGCTGGAAAATGACCAACTAGCGGTCTGTCGTTTTATGAAGCTGCTGGGAGGACAGGCAGAGGGAGAGACAGAGGCAGACACTGCGTAAATTAATGTGCGCACACACACACATCACCATCATCATCATCATCATCCAGGGCTGCTGCACCAACACCCGCCTGTTAATGTAGGGAGGGGGGGAAATATAAAATAATACCCTGCTCTGCTCAGTCTGGGCGGTGCACGGTGCAATCTCAGGCCTGGTTAGTTTTACTCCACAGCTCCGTCTGCATCTGTTAGGTCTAGATGTGCAGAAACGGGTCGTTTACTCACAGCATTCCGGAGCACGACGTGCAGACGAAGCTGCCCACCGTGATGTCCGTGTATGTCACCCCGGGCTGGTTGCACTCGAAGCAGTGTTTGTTTACCCCGGACTGGGCCAGCTCTCGGACCTTGCGGGAGCAGATCTCCTGGTTGTCCCGGTGCTTTCGGTTCGACATGGTTGTATCTGGCCGGTGCCTGCAGACACGGGCTGGGAGCGGTACGAAAACACCTCCTGCTCCTCCCCCCTGGAGCCGCTCCGATCACTGCACGGAGCGCCTCACGCCCCGCATTATGGAGAAGGCTTTTCTGCGGCTTCACCCCCGGAGCACGGCTACACACACAGACACACGCATACACGCAGGAGATACGCGTCAAGTTGGACAGAAGAGCCACGAAATCACACCGGAAGTACAGCAGAGTTACTTCAGAATAAAATACGACAACAGGTGGCGCTTTTAAAATTGTGTTCCAATATAAACGCTTTGTGTGTCAAAATGTTTTGCAAATAATTTTTGAATTTAGTAGTGATGTTATCTAAATGGGGAAATTGTTGTGGCCACCTGTCAATCATTCCAGAGGTTTGTCACCGTCTGACCAATCAGCAGTCCGTATTTACCCAGAAGTACACGCCCCCTACTTAGAGCAACATCCGTCAACATTGTCGGGGTTCATCAATGCCGACGTAGTTTGGGCTTTTAAGTATTTGAGGAGGTAGAGGGCAAAATACAATTTATTACATTTCCAAAACCCAAACAGGAGTCTGGACTAATGCAAGAAATGGATGAAGGCCTGCAGCCGACTTCATGTCCAGTTGAATGAAACCGTGATCACTACAACTACCACATGTTCGTCTGAAAGAAGGTAACTGGGAGTAAGCGTCCCATTTTTTCTGTCATAAGGACTCTTATTGATAGTCAGGTCAAAGCTCAATAAGTGAAGGTTGTTATGTTTGATTTTATGTGTGTAAATTAAGATGGTAGCTCTATGAAAGCATGATGCAGCAACTGTGGCATTTACATTTAAGCACCTTTTTATGCTAATGTTTATTTTTCTGAAAATCTGAGGATTTTCATAAGCTGGTATTATTTAAGTTATTTTCACTTTCCACTGAGCACTTTGAAAGTTTTGCACTTATAATTACTCTTATTTATTCTTTATATATATATATATATATATATATATATATATATATATATATATATATATATATATATAATATTTTATTCTTATTTTCATTTACTGTTATCTTTAATTTCAGTATCTTTGCACTTTGATGGCATGTGTACTCTTGCCAGAGCTTTTATTCTTTGTAACGGACTTCAAATGGCAATGCTATACAAATAAAGATATAATTATCTATTACTTTGAAAATCCTGCCGGATGTGAAGTAAGACATTAAATCTGGCCTGTTTCTTGGATTTGCGCTTTGGGGAATGTCCTGTCAAAGACAAACAAGAACCTGTCCAGAGGCCAAGTTTTAGTCCGGAATAAAAAAAAACCCAAGTCTTTTATCTGTAGGGGCGACCAGATTGTTTGCCCCTGCTGTTTGCGCTGCTTGTGTTTGCGCCCTGAGTGCGTCACTTACGCACGCACACATGTTGGACTTGTCACAGCGTGACAGTTGACGCTGCCGCGCGCTCAAAAGTGTGTTCAGATGCCTCACCTAAGGAACCAGAGTTATTTAGGTGGCCACGAGACCAGCAAACATTATTAGGGTAAAAATAAAGAAAAAAAAATGCTATAATGATTATAAATTATACTATAATCCTGTTATATTCTCTCTTAGTAAAGATTCCTCCTGGACTAACTATTAGTTTATTTTCTATTTGTTTGCAAATACCTTAGTAACAGAAGAACACACTACGCCCTTCCCGTGACGTTTGAGAAGAAATATGCGACAGAGCTTTGTTTTTCCACAGAAAACAATGAAATCCCTTTCATTACCCTGACGAACCGTGAAGGCGTCACTAAAATTTCATCTGCGACAGAACAAACTTCGAGACAGCGAGAACATATGCTACAAGAAAACGTGATGCAAGAAAAGCATTCGGGCACATTGTTTTCAGATGAGTCAAGTCCTCTAAAGCCTGCTAAGCTAGGCTACGGTCAGCAGGGGGAGCCACACCAATGAGATCGATACAGAAGCTCATAAATGGATCATACCCTCAGTTATATTATTACTCCACAATTTATCACATTACAGTCACATACTCTTTTTTTTTATGTGATGCACCAACACAAAATTGCACGTTCTTGTAAAGTGGAAGGAAAAATATAAATAAATACATAAATTTTGGATATTACCCAGGGTCCTGTGTATTCAGGTGTGCATCTAACCAGCCGATATAACCGGATAAAGCTATATGGCTTGAGGTTTTGATGTCATGCATTCATGCTTCTGGATGACTTGCAGTGCCAAGCNGTCCAAACAGTCAGCTGCAGAAGTAATATCATGAGGACACCGCTTACCACAAACTAGCAAAAAGAGAACGCCTCAACCCCACATTGACTACACAGGCCATAGAAAACATGTTTTTTGTTTGTTTGTTTGTTTTTTAAAATTAATGGCACGTTTAGTAACTACCCATCTGGCCCTTATCAAAAACCACCAATGATAGCAAAAATCAGGGTTTTCAGAGGACTTTCTGGCCAAACCACTAACCCACATAACTTGTCATGTCAGACCTCTCTAAAAATGATCATAATCTGTTTGTAGATCAAACACCAAATGTGCCTTTACATGCATTTATTACGCACACTGGAAACGGTCGAAGCCAAACCACAGAAGCCGAGATCCAAGGTCTTCCTCGTCTCCGCTCTTCAGGGTACAATCCTGAAGAGCGGAGTGTGTGGCATTTAGGACCAACAAGTAGCTTCACGTATAGGTATTTAAGATTCCCAAGATACACTTTCTGTGGAATATTTTATGCTCTCCAAGAAAAACCCACGACTAGGCGGATTTTCCTCAAATAATTTGAAGTCACGTTCCACAGAAAAATCTGAAACACAAATAGGCTACTGTACAAGATTTTAAATTGATCTTTATTGTTAATGTGAAAAAATAGCTGCTTTTTGCTTTTACACAGAAACATTGTACAATAAGTAAATTGATTGTGTCTTAAAGAATTCATAATTGTAGTAGAACAAACTTACTGCATGTCTTCCCTATTTACTGTTCGACAAAAGCCACTAATGCCAAAAATAAAAACCTATTTCAGGTTTTTACTTTTGACAAACAAAATGAAATAAATCTTTGTTTTAGTGGCAAATTGGAATCTTAAAACAGATGCCACATGTTCTTACATAATTTCGACAGTTCAAAGCAAAATTCGCTCCATATTCACTGGACATGGCAACAGAAAACGCACTAGACATAACTGACAGTCTTATTTCTTTTTGAATGCTCTTGCCACCCTTTCACAATAGGTTGCTCTGGGTGGTGAGCCATATCACCTTTATCAGATAAATAAGTAAAAATAATGTGATTTCCCTCCACATGTTTTGAAGTTGTAGTTATTTATTTTAATTTCAGGCAGCAGCGTGCTTCCATACAGAATGATTCATTGACTGTGGGAAACCTGTGAACAGGTTTTTGCACTTAGGCAACAACAAAGCAGAGCAGCTCGCAGGACAAGAAAACACACCCAGCACTGTGTGTGTGTGTGTGTGTGTGCGCGTGTGAGTGTGTGAGAGAAGCTCACAGCTCAGTGAACCTGAGAAGTTTAAAACACTAACATCAGATGCAGGAACGAGTATCCTCCTTATGCTATAAACTTATTTATGAGTCAAGTTTAGTGGATTTGTAAGATGTAAAGTGGTGGAGTTGCTATAGAGAACATGCGGCTCTTTGCAGCCTAACCTGTCATTTTCTACCCATTCAAAACCATAATTTGCTCTGAGTAAGAAACACGGAAATGGAGATGGAGGCGACGGGGGGTTGGACCTTCTTTGTGTTTGCGTGAAACAGTTCTCCTCTACGCAGTCCTCCTCAGACTCATACGGGCTGCTGGTCTGACTCGACTCCTTTCATCTGGAAATATTAATCCGCACAATCTCTTTCCTGAGCATTTACCGCGAGAATTTCTTTTGTTTTGTTTTGTTTAGGTTTTTTTGTTGTTTTTGTTTTTGCAGCATCATTCTCGCGGAAGCTGGAGGATTTGACGGACGGACCGCCGCTTGGTCTCAGAATAAGATGATTAAAACGCTTCAAACATCCTTTGACTTCATTCAAAAGTGGTGACAAGTCGACTTCAGACACGGATGTGAGCCGGAAAAGACGAACAGGACGTCTTTCTTTCTTTTCTTTTTTTTTTCTTTGGAGGGGGGTGAAGGAATACACTTTTCTTCCTTTTTGACTTTTTTTCCTGTCCAACCATGAGCCAGGCTGCCACCGTGGAGCGCTGAATCCGGACAGATTCAGTTTCTGCTCACCTCCAACTCCAGAGAAGCGGTCCAGATTAAAACTACAGGGCTGGTTTTGCGCAGAACAAACGCAAGAATGACAGTAAAGTTGGACTTTGAGGAGTGTTTGAAAGACTCTCCTCGCTTCAGGTAAGATGGATGAAATACAGCCTTTATGGAAAAACAAAAACACAATCTCAACTTTACAAGCGCAACCATTTGCAAAAACTCAAATAATAAGGGCCCATATTTAGATTTCATTGGTGCCCAGTCAACTTGTACACACGGGCCCAGGAGCGGGCTGTACAGGTGCCTCTCAACGTAATCGAAACGGTTGATTTATTTCAGTAATTGTACGGAAAACGTGAAACTTTTCACTCATTTTGGATGACTATGACTTACAGCTAATGTAAACCCAAAATTTTGGATTTACAAAACTTGAATTTTACATAAAACCAATGAAAAAAAAATGTCAATACAGAAATGTTGATTTCTGAATACTGTGCAGTATTTTCCGAGCTGAGGTGCTAAGGAAGTCGTCATAGGTTCGCTGCTTCAGGGCAAACTGTCCAGTTCTGGGACACTTTGGTAATAAGACTAAGGGTAAAACTCGGTAACCTTTGTCGGTGTGTGCTTGATGGCCTGACTTCAGACTCAGTAAAACATGGTGGACCACCACCGCCGTTTGGTTTGGCTCCCCAAATTATTGCTAACTGTTAAAGTTTCACACTGGACCTTGAGCAGTGTTGACTCTGGGACAGTAATGTCATCTCTGGTTTAGGAGTGAGATGTCACGATTGCAGCGCATGCCCTGGTGGAGTTTCCTGAACATGGACTCAAGCTGCAGTCCAAACCTTATTAATCTCCCACAAAAGCTTCGTTGAGCTTTGCTTCACAGGCCTCTCATTTTTTCCTTCCACTCAACTTTCCATTAATGTGCTTCAACAAAGTACTCTGGAAACTTTAGCT